GCTCAGGGTTGACTCAGCCTTCCATCCTTCCGAGGTGGGTAAAATGAGGACCCAGACTGTGGGGGCGATATGCCGACTCTCTAAACCGCTTAGAGAGGGCTGAAAGCCCTATGAAGCGGTATATAAGTCTAACTGCTACTGCTATTGCTATTGGGAACAGCCAACAAAGCGCAGTATTGCTACTCTCAGATTCTGCAGTGTAGCAATCAACTAGGAGCTAGGAAAATCAGGTTAAAATTCACTCTGTGATCCTGGTCCAGTCATTCAATTAAACTCTCTCTCAGATCAGTTGAGAAGCTCAAAGGAGAAGAGAGATGCTATATAAACATCTTTTGCTCTTAGAAAGAAAGCTTCATAAAAATGCACAAAAAGGCTACACTTCGGCATCAAACTCACTTTCTCAGTTTCTTTCGTTTCTGTATTAGCAGATCTTCATTGCACTGGAAGAGAAGACTGTAATGAGAAATGAATACTCGCAGGCGCTGAACACAGACAAGAAGAAGATAATAATCTGGGTGCTCTTGCTCAGTATACTTCAGGATGTTCTAGTACAAAAGGAGGAAATCAGAATTAAATTTCAACATATTCTCAGTTCATTTGAGATAAATCATAACATTCACCTTAAATTGATTACCAGGTCAAAAAACCCTTTTTCTCCCTGAGTAAAGTACTGGTAAAGTACTTGCTTTGAATTTAAAAGGTTTTCAGTTTTGAGCTCTTATAGAGTCTCTTCATAGCCTGGGAAAATATCTTGAATGAAACCTTGGGCATGTAATGCCAGTTGCTATAATGTACATCAATGCTGGCTGGAAGTCACAATTTCCGTTCTTTCAATATCTGGAAGTTATAGGAGAAATGGACACTGATTGTCCAGTGATAGAGTTGTGGGCCAAATAAAGATTATTTGACCTACTGTTTTGCTATGGTATGGTTGAGGGAACAAAATATATATAGTTTGTTCTTTTGTTTTTACAAAAAGCCCACAAGAACTTTATTATCAAAAAAATAGCAGTTTTGCTACTGAAGTTTGATGCTATTGTCTGAAGCCTTGTGATGCTAGGAACAACAAGAATGGGGTTGGGTGGCAGCCTTCAAACAGTTCCAAGCTAGATGAATTGATGTTCTGATTCAATATAAGGCAGCCTTCTACAGTCTTCTGAAAGGGCTATGGAGAGTTGTATGGTAAAACAGAGCCTCTTCCAAAACACTGTAGCAAGGCGACACAACATATTGTAGCTTCCTGTATTTCTAAAACCCACATTATCTATGAAGAATTGAGATATTTCCAAATGTATAACCATTAACACAGGGATGGGGAACTTGTTTCTAGCTACTGTCCCTGATAGGATCTATAATACAACTGCATCTGGAAGGGCTAAAGCTTTCTCACATTTTAATTAAAGAAAGGTCAATTAAAGTTATTAGAACTTACTTGCAAATGAAGAAGATATTCTGGAATGCGTTGGACAATATGGAAGAAAAATAGGTAGAGATCAGACTTGGTTTCTTCCTCAATCTGTTGATGCGGGAAAGTAAAACAAATTTAAATCAGTTATAAATTAGAGATGAGTTCTGTTAAATGCAGAAATAGGTGCATATTTTTATAAGCAATAGTCATTAAATTGATGCATGAAAACATGTGGATTTAGTATCTGTAACAATTAGTAAATCTATCACTGTTTACTTATTTCTAAATCTCTATGCTTAAAAGCACTGTTAAAGTTGGAGATAGGACTACCACAATGTACTCCTATGTAGATCAATCTTCAAAAACAATTCATACATTGTAAATTAATTGAAAATGAAATGCTAAGGATTTTATTAGAGATTGGACATTACATATGTATTCTGTATTTTCATTCAGATAAGGCTAACTGTTCTGAATGTCTGTGAAGCTTTAATCTATAACTGTGAATGTGGAAATAGAAAAACAAAACATATGATATGAATATAGTATTGTAGAACAAAAAAAAAACAATGCAAAGTTTATAACCCTTGTGATGACAGAGATCCACCCAAAGCCCACTGTATGATCATTGGAATAGGAATGAGATCATTAACAAATTTAAGTTATTTTTCCCAAACCAGCAAAAATCTGATGGACATATGTTGCTCATCCTCTTGGTGGGATCTCTTTCAATAGCAGAAACATGTCCATATGTTCCTATGTGTCTCTAGCACTGCTCTTTCTTGCAATTCATGCAAAAATTCCATATCATTCACGCTTAAAGGGGTCTGGATCAGAAACAATTACCGTGTTTTCTCTTCAAATAATACAATTGCAGGAAACAAATTATTCAACAAACCAAAACTCACCTTTTTCAAAATCACCAAATGGATCAAAGAGATATATTCTGGCAAGTCCCTCAAGTAAGCAATATAATAATCCAAAAAACTGTTCTGAGAAGAGAAATTATAAAGGTTCCTCAGAATTCTTAAGCATGTGCCTGATACCAATTTCCTATTATCCTTAAATCTACAAATACAGGTCAAGAATAGGATTCTGTTTCTTTGGATTTTAGGTACAGGAAGCAATGTCACATATTATATCCTACCACACATTAAGGTAATTAGTATTCAAATATCTCCCTCCCTCTCTCCCCCCTCTCTCTCATGCAGTGATGGGTTCCTACCAGTTTGGACTGGTTTGGCCAAACCGGTAGTGGTTTTTGGCCTGGGTCGCTGGAACTGGCAGAGACCCAGACCTGCCATGCCCACGAACCAGTTCTCCGGGAGGTGCCATAGATGCTGCCATCTTGTTTTTCGCTTCTGCCACGAGCGAGGCAGTAGTGCCTGCCGGAACCCAACCCAAGTGTATTTTAATAAGAGATTCCAAAAAAGTATCTATACACATACATGCAAACACATTGATTTGAGTCATTCATAGTACAATAATTCCTTGAACAAATATTATTTATTTTCCTTCAAAAAATACCTCATCATTGGTCAATCTGAGAAATATGTCTCCTAGGATTCCTTGTTGAGGCCAACTTAACACTCTTTCCTGCAAGGCATGAAGTAACTCTACATGTTGCTGGACCAAGTATCGCAAAGAATTGGGGAAGAAACTGCAATCAGAAAACAGGGGAAATTTTTTTTCACAGAGATACTAGTAAAAATACAGAATAACTTAGCTAAAATAATATCCAGTAGGAAAGCTGTAAGAGGTGTACAGATAGTCCTCAACTTACAACAGTTCACTTAGTGACAGTTCAAAGTTACAATAGCTCTGAAAAAAGTGACAGGACTGTTTTTCACACATACAACAATTGAACATTCCTATGGTCATGTGATCAAAATTCAGATACTTGGCAACTGACTCATATTAACAATGGTTGCAGTGTCCCTGGATCATGTGATCGCCTTTTACAACCTTCTGACAAACAAAGTCAGTGGGAAAGCCAGATAAATTTAACTGTACCATGTGATTTGATCCTTTAGGTGTCATCTGACTGTATTACAGTTGGAATGTTTGATGAAGTGCATCAGATTGTATTTTTGGCTAAACTGTATCAGGATAAGAAGAGACCAACACTCATTTCATAGTGGTACAACTAAAGATTCTGTACAGCAGTTTCAGATATGTGGTAGGATCCAGAACCCAGAGCTGTTCTAAGTTTTCATTAAACAAAAGTGGGAAACAGCAGCATTAAATAGGGCCTTGTGGGAAAGCTTTTCTTCATGGAATTTCTTTTTAAATTGTGGGATTGCTGTTGCCACAAAGGGAAATTCTGTCCACAAAAAACAGTTGGTAATTTATCCTTTCTGTGAAGAAATACTGAGAAATCATCCACCCAATTCTACTGCTCATAAATGTAGCGGAGAACTCTGAAAAGCCATTTGGACCCATCTCTATAATAATATTAGCAATAAGATGGGTCCCCACAGGCAGGTGACAGATGGCCAATGAAGGGAAGTCTAGAGAGAATGAAATACTGATGTTTTAAAAGAAAATTTGATTCTGGTACCCAAAGAAAATCATAGTATATAAGAAAGTACAAGGAATACTGTACCTTTCCTTTGTATTTCTTTTCACTTCTGTTCCTTGCAATGTGGATTTAACTTTCAGAATAAGAGAGAGGCTGACAACATACTTTCTTTCAGACTCTAGTAAATCCAAAGCAATATTTTGCCTTTTAGCTGTGACAGAACAAAGATAATTTTGGTTTGCTAGATTAAGACACATTATCATGTCATTCCTTTTTTAAACAAACCCTCAATATAAGAGAACATTAGCAAACAGGAAAATCGAAAAGTTAACTAGCTGCCATTGCAACTTCTTTCAGAATACTGTGGTCTGCATTACAGGTTGTCCTCAACTTACAATAGTTCATTTAGTGACCATCCAAAGTTACAACGGCACTGAAAAAAGTGATGGATGACCATTTTTCACACTTACTATCACTGCAGCATCCTCATGGTCATGTGATCAAAATTCAGGTGCTTGGCAACTGGCATGAGTTTATGACAGTTGCAGTGTCTTAGTGTCATTTGAATCACCTTCTGTGACCTTCTAACAAGGAAGGCAATGTGGAAGTCAGATTCACTTAACAATCTAAATAAGAGTTACTAACTTAACAATTGCAGTGCCTCACTTAACAACTGTGGTAATAAAGGTCATAAAATAGGGCAGAACTCACTTAACAAATGTCTCACTTAGCAACAAAAATTTCAGGCATAATTGTAGTGATAAGTTGAGGAATACCTGTATTTTTAATAAGGAGGAAGAAACTACTGCCTACACAGACCTGCAATTCAAATAAAAAGTACATATTTGTTTGCTTCTTGCTTCTATCTCTTATATACTATAATAGTCTGCATGGACTTCCAGTTATTTATAACAATAAAATAACACATAAAAAAGAGAAGGATATAATAATATAGTCATGCTATGGTGTACATTGATTTCTCCCCAAATTCTCAGCTGTATGAATTTTCATTAGGGTGAATGCTGAGGAGATTGTTCCATAATGGAGGAGGAGATTGTTCCATAATGTAGGGACCACAACAGAAACAAAAATGTTCTGAAAGCCCTTTGCCCTCTATAACTTCTTGGCGGTGGCAGGAGGGAACCCTTCATTGATTTGGTTAGCAAGAACATGCCAAATGAGTCAATTCCATACAGAGAAGTATGTATCTTTGTATCTATAACTGAAACTGAACTGTAAATCATACACACAATTGACACCAGAGAGAATTCTTCAGTCTCCTGGCCATTTCTATTTTTCTCACCTGCAACAGATGAGTCCCACATCAAATTCTCTACTGAGCTATATCTACTTGGAGCCAGATCCTTCTGCCGATCACTGAGGTTCTTTGAAATATATTCATCATTCCTCTCCTTACTGTCTTTGGCCTGTTTCCATATTGCTGCCTGGTCCTTTGATGAAGCATCGCCTGAAGAGGAAACTGTGATGTTCTCTTCTCTGTCCAGATTTGTACTGGTTACACCTAAAATTAGAACATAGTATTAGTGGGAATAGTTTTAGTGGCCATTTGGCCTGTTAAACTAGACTAAAAGCTATTGGTCAAACCCTTGAAGCCATGTCAACCTTTGGGATGCAAGAACTTTAAATATTTACATATTTCGCATCTCTCAATCTATCTAAATTTCTCCAGGAAAAGAGAAAGTTGAACAGGTGTTTTAGGTCCTGTGAAAGTTGTGCCATTTTCATTATTTTTTTGCAAAAGTTCTCAAATGAGTTTGTGTAGAACAGTTGTAACTTACAGTCAAGCTTCAGTTTATGATTTTCACACAGACTTTCCTATTTTGTCTTTGAACAACTCCTGTACCTTATCAGGATTATTTCAATGCTAGTATCTACATATAAAGCTACATCTGCATGCAGATTAAAAGAAACCTGAATTTAGAGAAGCACAAATGCACTACTACAACAACCCAGAAGGCCAGAAAAAGGGAACAGACTGTCTATACAATATTATCTAAAACAGTGTTTCCCAACCTTGGCAACTTGAAGATGTCCGGACTTCAACTCCCAGAATTCCCCAGCCAGCGAATGCTGGCTGGGGAATTCTGGGAGTNCCCAGGAGCCCACTTGGCACAATGAAGACTGCTACACATCACAAGAATCCAATATTTGAGAATTTGGATAAAAAGGGCTGAAGAACAGTCTGTTATAGACTAGTGCAGCAATGGCGAACCTTTTTTTGGCTCGTGTGCCATAAGCAGGGGGAGTGCAGGGGGGTTGTGCGTGGGCGTGCCACAGCCATAATGCAATGTGCGACACCACCACCCCCAGCACGCATGACAGGCACTCCCCCCCCCCATTTTTGGTATGCTTTTTTTGCCCTCCCCAGGCGCCAGAGGCTTTATAGGAGCCTGGGGAGGGCAAAAATAGCCCCCCCCGCAGGGGCTCTCTAGAGGCTTCAGGACCTTTTAGGAACATTGACAATTGCAATTACACTAGTACCCGGGATGGTGAACCTATGGCACGCGTGCCACAGGTGACACACGGAGCCATTTGTCAGGAGCCATTTTTAGTCCTCTGGAGCCTTCAGGGACCTTCAGGAGGTTTCCCTGAAGGCTCCACAGGACAAAAAACAACCCTATGAGCAAACTGGAAGTCACTTCCAGTTTGTCCGTTGGGTCTTTTTTTGTCCGGGAAGCCTCCGGAAGGCCCCTGAAGGCTCTGGAGGGCTTAAACTGGCCCTATGGGCAAACTGGAAGTCCGTTCCTGAACTTCAGGTTTGCCCGTTTTTTGCGCTTTTTGGGCCTGGGAGAGGGGCCGGTTTTTTGCGCTTTTAGGGCCTGGGGGAGGGGCCAGGGAAGATGGTTCTGGGCCTGGCGGGGGAGGCTGTTTTTGCCCTCCCCGTGCTCCTGTAAAGCCTCTGGAGCCTGGGGAGGGCAAAAAATTGCTTTAAAAAAGGCTGAACTCAGCTGGCCAGCACGCACATGCGCGCTGGCCAGCTGACAGGGCAATGCCTCACGTGCCCTGACATATGGCTCCGTGTGCCACCTGTGGCACCCGTGTCATAGGTTCACCACCCCGGGACTAGTGTAACTGCAATTGTCAATGTTCCTAAAAGGTCATAGGAACCAAATCTAGTTTAAAGACTAGGAATTGCTTCACAAAAGTCTGTTTCATCAAGAGCAGCAAAGTTTATCTTCTCCCTACAAGACTACCTCCTGCATTTCTAGCCGGAAAGCAGGCAGGAATCAGGTGTATCTGTCTGCACATATATTCTCCAAAGGCCTGCACAACCCTGGAATAATTAATGATAATAATAGTTCCTCGATAGTTAATAATAGTTACTACTATTATTAACTCTTCATCTTTATAATCTAATCATCTGGTTTAGAAAGGCTCACCTCAATGTCACAGTAAACACCTGGCAGCAGCAAGGAGCATCTAAGCTAAGGCAAATGAATTTGTCAAGGCATGGCTGATGTTTGTAGCAGACTGTAAGATCAATCTTAAAGCAGCAAATCCTTAGAAGAGCCTACGTAAAATTGAACAGTACAACTTATTTGCAGGCATCTCTTTCTCAATTCTTTCTCAATTCTTATTAATGCTAATTCTGGTTTCTCATGGTGTCCCAGTCTGTATTCAAGACACGTAGAGATATAAATTGGCCAATCGTATTTTCTCATCTTACACTATGTGCATTCAATCATGGTTAACTTTGTCATAAAGATGCAAACTTAGATTAAATCACTAAACCACAGTTTATCATGTATAGGGGTGTTGTGTGAAGTAATCCCACCATTACTGTCTATACCATTCAAGGAATTAGAAACATTCTTTAATTTGGCATCATTTTAAAATAAATTTAGAAAAAATGGAGCATAATCTTCAAGAAAATGGGTGTCTAACCTTGGCAACCTTAAGACTTGTGGACTTCCAATTCCTAGAATTCCCCAATCAGCATGGGGGTTGGAGTCCTTAAGTCTTAAAGTTGTTATGGTTGGACGCCTCTGATCTAGGCAGAGGCAGGAAGATACTCTGGAGACTGCTTTCAACTAGTACTCCAAACGCAGGGTTCATGCAACTACTAGCCAAAAAGGACTAACTGGATGATATCCCTGAGGGACACCACCCTGACCCCTCCCGTCTTTGCCTTTGAGTCAGTAGCCCGCTTACGTGTTTCTCAGACCCTGGTGGGAAGTGGGTTTGCCCTGGCCTTTTGCTCTCCTTACTTCTACAAAGCTTTGCTTTTCACCCACTCCTCGCTGTGGAGGAAAGTAGTTCCAGTGGGAGCTCCTGGAGGTGGCAGAGGCCTCATGGGGCTGGAAGCCTCTCTCCTGCAAGTTGGACAGCCGATTCCCACTGCTGCTCCTTGTGCTATATAGCCTTGTGCTGATGCCTTCAGACCCACTCCGGGGAAACTCCTTCAAGGATTGACTCAGTTGTTTGCCCTTGCTCCGAAAAGCCTCACGCTTGGAGGTGCTGCTGCCAACGTGCTCTAGATCACTGCTCTTGGGAAGCAATTGCAAAGTGCGCTGTGCCTTCTCTGGTTCCTTTGTGAAGTTCACAGGTCGCAAGAAGCAGATGTCAATGCTAGATTCAGAAGAGGCTGGTGAGCAAGATTGAAGGATAGCCAGAGGTTCTTTCTCATAGAGTCCAGGAATGGAATATGTATTTCCTTGGTATTCAAAATCTTCAAAATCAGAAGTAAAGCTTCTGCTGTCTTGAAGAAGCTCCACGGTAGCTTGGTGAGATTTCTCCTGGTTTTCTTTCATATCCGATGAAGTAGCATTGAACTCCATATCTGCAACAGGCTGCAGAGAAGCCGCCAGAGTCTTCAAGTCCTCCTCATTGAACTGAGATGGAATTAAAGCACTCTCTGGTCTGCCATGCTTTCTTCCATCAGCTTCCCACTCACATGGTTTCCCTGGGATGTTTGCCATTTCTTGTTGACCCTTTTTTATGTGTGACATCAAATGCCTTAAAAGAGTGGTAAGAGAATTACAGGTAAACAAGATGAAGCAAACACAGTGTTCCTCCTCTCCCCCAAAAGAGATGAAAGCTCCATTTTGGATGATTGGATTAACAATTTTCTGGGAGCTCCTTGCCATTCAAGTAAATTAAGAGTCCCCCCCCCCCACAAGCAACTTGCTAATATTTATTTTCTAATATGAATAATTCACAAGGATTTGGAGATAATAGCAGTTAGACTTATATACCGCTTCATAGGGCTTTCAGCCCTCTCTAAGCGGTTTACAGAGTCAGCATATCGCCCCCACAGTCTGGGTCCTCAT